AAAAAGCTTCAACCTTACTGGGAATTCGATATTTGTAGACTCGAGGATAGAGGAAGTGCGTAGAAACTTGGTTTCGAAGAGCAAAACAAACATCACATAAAGGTACTCTAATGGGTTTTATTCCTAGTACAATTTGCTAGCACTTATGGATGTGGCAATGTTCAGCTAGGATGGAGGACAAGAGGGAATCCATAGAAGCTGCTTGAAGGAAAATTAAAGTTTGGATCCTTTAGGTGGGGCTAAAATTAAAGAAGCGAGAACATTTAATAGAAAAGATGAATGGGTATTGAGGGAACTTAATATCCCGAACAAGCCAATTAAAAGAAAAAACTTTAAAGTGGTGAGATGGCAACGACCATTGGAGGGGGGTACAAACTCAACACTGATGGGTAATGCCTGGGTAACCTTGGAATTTGTTGTGTTGGAGGTATTATTCGGAATGAAAGAGGTGATATCGTCATAGCCTTTGCTGAGGAATTTGGTGAGGGTACTAATAATGGAGCAGAGCTACTGGCATTATTATATGGGCTTCGACATGCTAAAAGATTGGGGATTAACCATCTCGAAATGGAGATTGATTCATTGATTATCATTAATTGGTTAAGGAAGTTTTGTGGTATTTGGTATCTAGAATATTATTGGGAAGAAATACAATACCTGCTGTCTACAATCTCTTTAAGAGTTCAACACATATATCAGGAGGTTCAACACATATATTAGGAGGGCAACTAGGTAGCTGATATCGTGTCGAAATTGGGAACATCTTGTGTTTCATAGATCTGGATGGATTCTATCACAATCCCATAATCAGTTAGAGGAGCTTTACGTATGGATAAACTGAGCATCCCCAATTTGCGAAGCTTTTCTACTCACAGTTTGTCTTTAAATCTTCCAATGTTGTCTTAGATTACACAGAGTTTGGCTTACTTTGATTTGGATGGTGAATTGCAAATCTTATGTAACTACGGTATTCCTTCGCCACAAATAAGGGTTTATCAATAAAAGAATAATCTGTTTAAAAAAAAATGAAAAAAAAAAAGGAAAGACATTTCAAAGTAATTATGGTACTCAACACTACAAAACCTCATGGCCATTTTTCTCGTACAAATGGTAAAATCCAAACTGGAGCTTATTTCGCTTATTATAATTTCTCTTCAAACGTATATATATATATATATATTGCTAAAATGTATTTATAAATGAAATATTGTTATAATTTTTTTGATATATGAATATTTTTCTCTGATATGGTATAATATCAAACACTGTTATAAAATAATATATCATAATCCACTATGATACAAATATCTCTAATACAAATCCCTCCTTATTCTATTCTCCTGATCTTGCACTTTGTACGACGATGCCCTAAATTTACTTTACTGTCGTTTCTTAGAATTTACTTTAGCTGCCCTCATCAATTGTCGTGTTAATGCACACCTATTAATTATTCTGTGCACAGAACAATTATTCTAGAGAAAATTAGGCTCAATACTTCAAACAAATGAAAAATAAGAAAAATAGAATAATACACTTACAATGAATTATATCTTTAGTAACCTTATTAATTATACTCAAATTAATCCTAAAACACAAGCCAACAACCCTACCATCCTAATCTGAAAATTTTCACAATTATGTTTTCTTTGCTAATCTTAAACTAAGAAAGCAAATAAAATATTTATTTAATATGTGAATATTTGTATTGGAATCGTGAATCCCCCTATTGCCATTTAATTCAACTCTTAATTTATAATCTAATAAAATTATGCATTAAAGACAATCGATAATCTACTTTTATTCAATATTCTTTCCCATGATATATGAAACCTATGTTTAACACGACCCAATCCTATTCCTAGTCCGAATTCATATGAAAAACATGCATTGATTCACAGGATTTATCCCACATGATTGCATATGCCATAGATATTATTTCTAACACCTATTGTCCATGGGTTGATTTTACCACGTTCTAAATTTATTGTGAGTATTCATACACTACAACAAACAACTTACTATCTAATTGGTGATCAAGCAATTAAATAGTTCAATGGAAATGCAAAACCAATCAAGAAAAAATCATGAAATACTAAATTAATTGTCTTAAATTGAAATAAACAAATGATAGGGTTCATCATTCATCCAATACAATAAAAAACTAGCCTAGCATATTAATATATAAATTACAAGAAGAATAATAGAAAAATATCACCCGGATCATGAAAGAACACAAAAGATGTTGATCTTCACGTCCAAAGTTGAATTCTTCAAAACTTGATGTAATTGAACTTCAATTCCTTGCTATGGCTTGATCTTCTCTCTCAAAATATAGCAATTGGCTCCTTGTTCTTGATGAATTTGATGAAACTATTGTGTATGAAGAGGCAAGAGAGAGAAATTTTTGTATTTATTTTCTGAAATTAGGTCAAAATTCATGTCCAAATTGTCTTCCAAAAGAGTTTGAATTAAATAAGGAAAGTTGCATTCGCGCGCACATAATTTTGTCTCTGCATAGCATTCAGCATTTTAATCATAACTTTCTCTCTCAATTTCCGATTTAGGTGATGCAAAGTGCATTGGAACGCTAATTAACAGATCTACAATTCTTCTAGAAATACAATTTTTCCAATTCAAATGTTCTCCATCTGAAAAATGGGTCTCAAGTTGAACAAAAATCTTGAAGATATCCTATATGATTTGAAGTCGGTTTATGGTAATATTCTAATCATATCCCTTTCCTTTTTTACTCCAATTTGCATTTAATTGACTTCTATCAATCTTCAAATTATCTTTTGTGGTCCAAATCAACCATTAAATATTTACACTTTGGTCCCCATACTTTGGATTTGTTTCATTTAGCCATTTTCTGTTCTTTTTTCCAATTCTTCTTTGAAACATGAACTTTTCCTAATAAAAGCAATAAATAACAAATCAGGTACTAATCCACTCAAAAAATAACAAAGTATCATCATTTAGAATTCCAAATAAGTGTAGAAACTACATTTATCAATTGTGATAAAGCAGATAAGAAAGTAAAGTGAGCAGGAGAAAAATTACTATATGAAACAAAGCGAGCGAGGGGATGAACCGTACCTGAAGAAGTGACCGGAGCAGTAGAAGGCGTAATGGATGAAGGCGATGGTAGAGTAGGGCAGACATAGTCAGCGAGATAAGAAGGACGATGTATAGTGCGTTGAGGCCGAGCAAGGGGAGAAACGAGAAAAGCATCAGGATGGAATAATGTAGGACCAGATGGGATAGAGGGTCAGTCTAATGGAGTACGAGAATCGGGAACAGGGAAAGGCAAGACAAGGGGTACAAAAGAAGGTTGAGGCAATAATTGGAAGGGAAAAATATGTTCAACAAAGGTGATGTCTCGAGAGATAATAAACTTCTTGGTTTCAAGATTATAAACACGATATGCACTATGAGTCGAAGGGTACCCTAGGAAAATACAAGGACGGGCACGAGGTTGGAATTTGTCACGGTTGGCAGAGATAGTGTGAGCGTAACAAAGACAACTAAAAACCCACAATTGATCATAACGGGGTGTTGTCCTATAAAGACGCTCAAAATGGGATATATTTTGTAGGAAGGATGAAGGAATGCGATTGATGAGATAAGTGGCGGTAAGGAGACACTCACCCCAAAAGGTAAGAGGGAGGTAAGCGTGAAAACGTAGACATCGAGCCACATTTAAGATGTGACGATGTTTTCGTTCGGCAACACCGTTTTTGTTGTGGTGTTTCCACACAAGTGCGTTCATGGAGAGTACCCTGTTTAGAAAAAAAAATCCTAGGTATTGCGAGCGATGAATTCTTGACCATTATCAGTGCGAATGTGACAAATTTTGGAATTAAATTGTGTATGAATCATAGAAAAAAATGTATAGAGGCAGGTTAGAGTTTCGGATTTATAACGCATTAAGTATACCCACGTGACTCGAGTGAATTCATCAACTATGGTTAAAAAATAATGAGCACCAGAAAAAGAAGCTTTATGGTAACCACCCCAAATATCACAAAAAATACATTCAAAGGGTATCAAACTCTTATTATCAATTAACTGAAAAGGTAACCGAGTATGTTTTCCACGATTACATGCGTCACAATGTTTAATAATTTTAGGACGAGAAATAAATTGAGGAACAGTATGTAAAGAGGGATGACCCAAACGTTGATGCCATGTAGTAAAAGGAACTTGACCGGTTGATTGGAGAGTAATTGCAGGAGTAGGCTTGAAATAGTAAAGTCTATTACGCTCTTCACCCACGCCAATTAGCTTTGTCATGGTTAGGTCTTGAAAAGTGCATAAGGTAGGAAAAAACGTGACAACACAGTTAAGAGATTTGGTTAGCTTTCTAATAGATAATAGATTAAATTGAAAATCAGGAACAGATAGAACATTGGAAAGAGTGAGATTATGAGATATAGAAATATCACTTATAGTGAGCACAGAGGCGTGTGCACCTGTGGGGAGACATACAGAAGGGGAGAAACATTAGAATTGGAATTAACGGGAGACGGGTTTACAATAGGGGCAAAGTAGCAACTTAAGAATTTGGAAAGGGCTGATTTGCAATATGGTGGGTAGCTCCACTATCAATAACCCACGATTTGCAATTAGAGAAGGAATTGGGGGTATTAAAGTTACCTGAAATGAAAGAGATCCCAGTGTGAGAAGTTCTAGGAGTTGGTTGTACTAGTTGGTGGAAAGTCCTGTAACGCCGCTTGTTGTGGGAGTGTTAGAGGCGGCCGACACTTGGTGGACTGCCAGTGATGAGAGGCGGGTTTTGCCACATTTGTTCTTGAATGGCCACCAATCCGGGTACCCAATTACTTCGAAGCACTTGTTACGAGGGTGTCCTGATTTGCCGCACACTTCACAAAGGTTCGTTCCAGCAGCCCAAGTACGATGAGGGCGTGACGGAGGCTGTGATGGTGTCGACGAGCGGGCGGTGAAGGTCAAGACTTCTAGTTGAGGTGTGGGCTGTTGAACTAGACGCTGGGTCTCTTCTTGATGGAGTATGACATAACATCTATTGTTGAAGGCAGGGGATCAATGGCCAAAATCTGTGAGTGAAGTTGTCCGAAACTTTCGTTGAGACCCATGAGAAATTGATATATACGATCAGATTCTTGGAGCTCAGAGAGGGATTTAGAAGCACCACATGTACACGACTTGATGGATTGTAAAGAGGTTAATTCATCCCATAGTTCCTTCAATTTTTCATAATATTCAGTGATTGATTGTTGGTCTTGGTGGAGGTTGGCTAAGTCTCGTTTGAGCCGAAAAATTTTGGTGCGGTTGCTTTGCTGGAATCGAGTTTCTAGTTCCAACCATTTATCGTTTGGTGTAGCGCAGTAGAGGAGGCTGCCTGCAAGGGAACGGTCAATTGAATGGAGGAGCCATGACATTATCATGTCACAACAACGGTCCCAAAGAAGTCCGGCTGCTGTGTCACCATCAGGACGTGTGATGGTGCCGAGAATGAAGCCCAATTTTTTCTTGGCATTTAGTGCACGAGTGATTGCTCGGCGCCAAGTAGGATAATTATCACCATTGAGAGATGTATTGACTAGGAATAGATTTGGTTGATCTGACGAATGCAAATAATAAGGAGATAAAACATCTGTGAGGGATATTTGGGCATCCAAAATAGGAGCAGCCTTGGCCATGGCAAACGTAGGTATGGCGTTTGAAGACCTAAAGCTCTGATACCATGATAAATTCTAGAGTTTGATATGGAATGAATATTCTTTTCATTGAATTATTTGAAGATGTTTCGCGCGGGTTAGTCACTAACAATTAAAAAGGGATCAGACGATTGTGTAAGGGACAAACCTCTTGAGACAAAGTCCCAAAAAGGATTGTTCTTTTATTGGCGATGACTTTACAATTGGAAATCGAAAACAAAGTGCCTCCAAGGGGCACAAGCACACGATTTACTGAAAAAAATGTTTAAGTCTAAGCTAAAGAAATTAAAATTACATGTTCTCTGTTCGAGAGTTTTTTATTCGGTCCTTTGCTCTATGTCTTTTCTCCCTTTTATACTTCATGGACGACCTCTTTGTGATCAACCGCCTAAAAACTGCTTGATCGTTCTGCAACTGTCCACTTTCCTCATAATGGCCAGCTTGTTATGAAAACTGCCTTATTTAACTGCTGCCATTACTCTTCGTCGTTCAACCGTTTTCGATTGAATTCCTTGAATCGTGGAACGTGATGGGGCTGCTTTAATAACTATTTTGATAACTGTACTTCTTAATAATCACAACGCTTTATGTTTGTTAAGACTTTGGGCGATTTGAAGGTTTTGGCGAGAATAGAGTAATAGCTCTGGGCGACTACATGGCACTCCATTCGCTCAGATTCTGGGCGACTTGCAATCTTGGGCGATGGCGTTACCACGTTCTTGGGCCTCCCTATTTGGGCCTTCATCTTGAATTGTTTGGTTGGGCTTCGTTCTTTGGGCTATCTGATTTGGGGATTCTCCAATTGGGCTTCATTCCTTGGACCGTTCGATTTGGGCTGAATTTTTATGTGTCAACAATTACCCCCCAATATGGCAGAATTAATAATAATTATTAAATTTTGCCATATTCACTTTGTGTTTCCAGTAACATTCGAGATTTCCAAGAATTTCAATCATTGTTTTCTTCCATAACTTGAAAAGGTGCGTTGTTTTGCAAACCCTTATAACCCCCAAACACACCATTTCACTGCACCACTAAATCACGCCTCAAATTTTTCGCGTCTCTCCCAAGATTTACTGTTCATCTTTTGCTTCCCTGCTACGTAACCCTGAAAAACTTCGTTCCATCTCAAATGGCTACTTCACAATCTCAAGCTGGCGACTCCTTTAGTTTTGATGACTTTCAGAAACGTCTGAGTCGTCCATACATAACTCCGAGTTTTCTCGCGCCCACCGATGTTGAACGCAATGAGTTCTACTTAGGTCCTTTCTTCAACAATGCAGAGGCAGTTGAACAGGCGGCGGTGGGTCAGCTGTTTCCTTATACTCAAGGCCCTCCATTTCTAAACTCTCTGCCGCTGGGGCCACTTCACGAAAGAGGTATTTGCACTTGGCCTAAATTTGATGTAGCTTTTCGTAGGTGGCATGCTCGTCTTGTGGGTCATGGCCCTACTAAGGCACTTTTTGATAGCGCTAGGATTTCTGATTTGTTAGAAATCTCTATTCGCCCCCCTACTTTTGATTCAGCACTCTTTTCGATTGCTTTGAGTTTTTGGTCTTCCGAGTATAATACCTTTATTTTCCCTCTTGGCCCCATGTCTATTACTTTAAGGGATGTTGGGGCCCTGGAGAATCTACCACCTTTGGGCGATACCATTTTTCCTGGTATCTTGGTTTCTGGTGGCGCCCCAAAGTTTGGTAAAAACTACACCGAATCTCATTCAAGCCTGCAAACCCTTCACAATCATTCGAGCGCTGAGCCTTTCCATACTGAGCGAGTGGCCTTTCTTCTAGTTTGGCTTTGTAAATATGTTTTGTGTGTGCCAAGCATAAAGCCCTCCCTGAGTTATTTACCTATAGCGCACGAATTGGAGCGTGGCAGGCCTTTGAATTTATGTTTTTTTCTTTTTGGCTGCCCTTTATAGAGGAATGGCCTCTCTTCAAACTCAATTGAAGAATGGTGTATCTCCCACTGGTAGTGGACCTCTTTGGTTCACTCAACTGTGGTTGAGATCCTATTTTCCATTGCTTGGTACTCCATCAATCTCTCGCTCTTCTGCTAGCTGTTATGGGCTAGCCATGGAGCCCTTGGCTCCTGTAAATATGTCCAGAAGGGACATTTTTTCATTCTTTTATTCAATCTCTTCCTTTTTCCTTTTCCTCCTTTTTTGCCTCCAAACTATGTACATCCCTCCTCCACTATAGACAACACGAGCACCTCTCTGCTCATTTGGATCTAGTTTTTAACCGGGAGGGAGCTATTTCGTGATATTTTGACTGGGACCAATGCCAAGGTAGGGGTAGAAATTTATGCTCCCCAATTTTTTGCTCGCCAGCTTGGTTTCGGCCAAACTTGGCCTGTTCCTCCTTGCTATTCAAGGAACTTAATTAACCGTTTTCATACTATTAATAAGGCGGAGGCAGAGGCTATAAATGCTCGCAATCTTCTTTTAACCAGCTATTTCTCATTAGTCCCCTTCAATTCTAGCCACGCCATTCATCCTCTTTTTGAACAACTCTGGCCGTCAGTGAAGCACAGATTATTTGCGACTGATGTCAATCGTGCCTTTCATTCACTAGACCAGCCGAGCATTTCTTTCCCTCCTCCTGTTTTAGTCACTCCTTTGTCCATTCGGAGTCCTTCTCCTCCTTGTCACGCTAAATAGTCTGCTCGTCCATCTTCTTCTCTCCCTGCCAAACCTACTACAGCCAAGAGCGCCCCAAGCCGTAAACGGCGAGCCTCAGCATCTCCCATTCTGGAGGATGACGTTGATGATGATGATGATGCCCCTCTTATCGTCAGGAGGAAGGTAATTAAATTGGTTTACTTACAAGCATACTTTTCCATACTAGAAACTTTTCTGTGTGCTGATGATCTTTTGGACTCTTCAGAAAAGCTCAGCCTCTCCTTCAAAGGCTTTGCATCGACAGTTCCTGCTCCATCATCCTCCGCTGAGGCTGCTTCATCTAACCGGTTGATGAGGGGACTACGCTTAAAGAGACATCTTCAGTCCCAGAGTCCTCATCACAACCCATGGATGAGCCACCTTCTTTCCAGGGCGTCAACCCCTAAACATCGAAGTAGAAGGTAATTCAGTTTTTTGATGCCTTACCTTTGCTTGTGCTATTGGTTTCTGATTTGTTGCTCTTGAGTTTTGCAGATACTCCTATGAGTCTACCCGTTGTGGCAACATCTTCTCGCTCAGACAAGGGGAAGTCCTCACGAATGGAGGAGTCGTTGGTGGCAGACTTGGCTGAGGACATGCCATCTTCCACGATTGTTGATGAGGTAATCTTTGCTTCACTTTTATTTCTATCTTGTTCGTTGTAGTGAGAATCTTTAATATTGGCAATTTTCTTTGCAGGATGCTGACAAGATTGTGCGTTCTATCCAAGACTTGTTCACTTCCTGGGGGCAAGTCAAGACGTCTCGCCCTGCTCCATCTGACCGTCCTGCTGCTTCTTTAGAGGAACATTTGAAGTTCCTCAAGCAGTCGATATTTGAGTACGTGTCCTTTATGGATATGGACATTGGAAGGGCTAGTGCTGCCAGACACAATGATCCTTCCCAATTGGGCGACCACTTTCCGTACTTTGGAACCTTGCTATCCAAAGGGAGTATCGTCTTCCAAACTAGTTCACCCAGGCCGAACGACTTGGCTATGACTTTTTTATTATAAAACTTAGCCATTCTTAGTTTTTGAACTTGCAATCTATCTAAAACGTCCAACTTTAATTCGTCTAACCCCAATAAATTTTGAACTAGTGATTCGGCATACTCATCATCATTCAACTTATGTTGCAAGCACATTCTAATCGATTGCACGTTGATTTCCATAGGCAAAACAGCCTCCTGTCCATAAACAAGTTGGAAAGGAGTAACTTTGGTACTTGACCGATGTGATGTTCTATAAGCCCAAAAGGCATTGTTCAAACATTCGTGCCAATTTCTGGCATTTTCATCTATCATCTTTCTGATGATATTTTTTAGAATCTTATTAGAAGATTCCGCTTGTCCGTTGGATTGAGCGTAGTATGGTGTGGAGTTTACTAATTTAACCCCAAACTCGCTCAGAAATTTGTTCACTTGATTCCCATTCAAAGATGTTTCGTGATCTACCATCAACGTTTGTGGAATTCCAAACCTATAAATGATGTGATCACGAATAAACTCTACAACATTCTTCTGGGTGATCTCTTTCAAAGGTACCGCCTCTACCCATTTGGTGAAATAGTCGGTTGCAACTATAACAAAAGTATGTTGTTTGGACGATGGGGGATAAATCTTCCCAATCAAGTCTATCGCCCAACCCTTGAATGGCCAAGGTTTAATAATAGGTGTCATCTCTCGCGCTGGCGCCCTTTGTATTGGACCATGCTTTTGGCATGCTAAACAACTCTTTGCATACTGAACGCATAATTCTCCCATCTTTGGCCAAAAATATCCACTCCTAATAATTAACCATCTCATCCTTTGGCCAACTTGATGACCTCCACATATCCCTTCGTGCACCTCAACCAGATCGTCTTGGCTTCTTACAAACTTACACACTTTAGTAATACACCATCAGAGCGTCTCTTAAACAACTCTTCATCTATTAGTGTATAGTTCAGCAAACACAGCTTCATTCTCCTACTAATCCCTCCATTAGGTTCCTTAAGGAACCTTTTAATATCCGTTCTCCAATCCATTGCATCTCCATCTTGTATGCAGTAAAGTTCAATCTTTCTCGCCCTTCTTTGAGTCACGGGCAATATGATTCCATACTCATAAGTAGACTTCCAATTCAAAACCTTTGAGTATCCTGAGGCCATTTGGGCTAACTCATTTACCACGTCATTATATATCCTATTAACGCATTGAAGTTCTACTTGGTCGAATTCCTCCAACAACTCTTGGGCGATCTAATATTGACTTATAATGGAATCACTTTGGCATTTAAAATCACCAATCAATTGGTGGATTATCAATTGAGAATCGCC